GTACATGTTTCATACATACCTTGTATGCTTCTGTATTCAGCTTCTCTAGGCACTGGTGGGGATTTAGGGTGCTCATGTCTGATTTCCAGGGTATGTCTAATAGCTCTTGGTTTATTTTTTCCCAGTCAATTCTATGGTTATTAAAATTAACTTACTGAACATCCCGTCTCTAACATTAGTGATGCAGTTTCCTAACCCTGAGCTAATACTCGTTTGAACCTCTATGAAGTTATGATCAGAGTAGTACTGTATATTGTTTTTGTAACTGTTATGTCTCTGATCAGTTCCTCATTGTTTGTGAATATCAAATCCAAGGTATTTTCATTTCTAGTGGGATCAATTACCTGTTGGTTTAAAGAGTACTTTTCATAAAGCCTCGTTAGTTCCCTGGTATGTACCTGTTGAGCCAGGGTGCTTCCCGGAGATATTTCTGATATAACATTACGTTGCACCATCTTCCATTTTACATGAGGGAGATTAAAATCTCCAAGGAGTAAAATATTTGGTGTGGGATTTTCTAGCCTATCCAGATAGCGATCTTCCTTAGCTGATCTGTGAATTCCTCAGCAGTTGCTGATGGTGGTTTGTATACTAGGATAATTACCAAATTCCTATTTTCAACTTTAATGCCTAGAATTTCTACTATATCATTTGTAGAGTTCAGCACTTCTGTGCAACAGAAAGTATCCTTTACATAGATTCCTACTCCTCCTGTGTCCTATTGATTCTATCACATCTATACATGTTGTAGTTTTCTACCTTTATCTGTAACTGTATAAAAAAAACATGCATGATCAATTTTAAGTAATATGATAATAATAATAATAATAATAATATCTTTATTTACTACAAGTACATGTACAAGGTGTAGGTAGTAGGTTAGTAGACAGCAACCGTCCTGCCAAGTGAGTGTAAAACGAAAGCCTGTAATTGTTTTACATGATGGTAGGATTGTTGGTGTCCTTTTTTCTGTCTCATGAACATGCAAGATTTCAGGTATGTCTTGCTACTTCTACTTACACTTAGGTCACACTACACATACATGTACAAGCATATATACACACACCCCTCTGGGTTTTCTTCTATTTTCTTTCTAGTTCTTATTCTTGTTTATTTCCTCTTATCTCCATGGGGAAGTGGAACAGAATTCTTCCTCCATAAGCCATGCATGTTGTAAGAGGCGACTAAAATGCAGGGAGCAAGGGCCTAGTAACCCCTTCTGTTGTATAAATTACTAAATTTAAAAAGAGAAACTTACGCTTTTCTTTTTGGGCCACCCTGCCTTGGTGGGATACGGCCGGTTTGTTGGAAAAAAACAACAACAACAACAAAAAAACATGTACAAGGTATACAGTCCTGGCTGACATCAATGACATACTACTATATAGAAAGCCGCTTGTTATGCAGGGTATTTTGGGCAAATTAGCTCAGTTTTGTCTCAGGATGCAACCCACACCAGTCGACTAGCACCCAGGTACCCATTTTACTCATGGGTGAACATGGACAACTGGTGTAAGGAAACACGTCCAATGTTTCCACCCCTTCACAGGGAATCGAACCTGGACCTTCACCATGTGAAGCAAGAGCTTTTGCCACCAGGCTATGGGGCACCAACATTAATTGCAGATTCCTTATCCACAGCCACAGAATGAAAATAAATGAAAGCAGTGATTGTGTAAACAGGCAGATTATATACTGCAATAATAGTAGTAGCTATGACATTTATGGAACACTTTAACTGTGTATATCACTCAGTGCTTATAACAAATAATAATAAATATCAATCAACAGACAAAACTTAATGTTTAAAGACAAGTCGAGTACCAAAGCTTTGGGATGGAACTGAAAGAAAAACATACAGTCATTAAAGAAGCTGAGAGTAAAGTAAGGATGAATATTGTATATTAGTGTACTGTGAGAAAAACATATGAGGTAGAGTTAAGAGTGAGGCTTTCTATGAACTGTGTAGATTATGCACTAAAGAATCAGTGTGAGCAGAATGGAAAATACTACAGACAGACAGAATCATTATAATTAATTTCTTGAAGCAGAAAGGACTTCTGCAAGCAACTGTGGATCAACTGCAGCTGTCCAACAAGAGAGGGATCTGAAGTTGCATATGGAATCGTAAAAACAACAGAGGTCACAGGGTGAGGGCAGTCTCATTGGCTGGGTATGTACAGCACATGAGTAAAGTAAATCAGCAGAGAAAATCATTCAGGCCTGCCTCTTGTTCACTCAAATCGTAAAATTATATGTGCTGTATTTACATATACTACCTCTTCATATTAATTATACATATTATGTTACTTATGTAAATTATATACTCTATGTAAAAGGCTATGATTATGGAGAAAGGAGTCTATACTGTTGTTGTATTCAGCCTCTTATAAGAGTCCGTAATCTATGCATGATTTAGTAATATAATCAGCCTAAACTAAATTAATTTCTGCAGTGTGGTACCTCTGTCAAAGAACACATTTGATTTTAGTTTCACACATATGACACAGTAATGTACCCTTCTTCGAGTCTCTGAGTGGCTGCTGTGTACTAACCTATTACTGTACCTCTCAAGTTCTTGCACAGAACCAAGATGTGGAAAAACATACTCAGTGTAAACCATAAAGATTTACATGGGGATATCTAATTATCTACACAACACTCATCAAAAAGGAACTCACTAAAATCAAGACTCCTAAGAAAATTGCTTATACAGTGGAACCTCGGTTTTCGTATGCTCCAGTTTTTGTAGGATTCGGTTTTTGACGACTTTTTTCGTTGAAATTTTGTCCCAGTTTTCGTACATCCACTCGTTTTTTTTAGAGTTGAAAATGGTCCATACCAAACGCATCCACGTGACTCGGCCACTCAAGCACCCACACAAAGCATCCCATGCGTTTGTGACTCAGTCTGCCTTTGTTTCTCGTTGAGTGAGCATCACCCTGTACGTTCATCCAAAATATTTCGTAATAATCCATCGTTCCAAGTGCAAGCCCTTTGATAAAGAAGGCAAGAAACACTACAGAAATCAAGACAGCACTCATAGCAAAGTACGAAAGTGGAGTATGCATGGCCAATCTCGCCAGGATGTATGGGAAGTCCACATCAATGATCAGTGCCATCCTGGTGAAGAAAAAAGAAATAAAGAAAGCTGATGTTGCAAAAGGGGTAAATGTGGTAATGAAACAGAGATCACAAACAAACAAAGATACTGAGAATTTGTTGTTGGTGTGGGTCAATGAAAAGCAGTTAGCGGGAGATACCGTTTTAGAGACGATAATTTGCAAGAAAATGCCTGGAATGAGTGCTGCTGTAGTGAATTTAAGGCCAGCAGAGGCTGGTTCGACAAATTCAAGAAGCGAACTGGCATACAAAGCGTGGTAAGGCATGGTGAGGCTGCAAGTTCGAACAAATGTGGGGCCGAAGAATTCGTTGATGAATTCAAGGAGTATGTAGAGGCTGAAGGATTCCTCCCCCCAACAAGTCTTCATTTGTGACAAACCAGGCCTCTTTCAGAAGAAAATGCCAAAGGGGACCTACATCACGCAAGAGGAAAAGGCACTGCCAGGACACAAGCCTATGAAGGATAGGCTCTTTTGTTCTGTGGTAATGCTAGTGGGGATTTCAAAGTGAAGCCTTTACTAGTGTATCACACTGAAAATCCCCCAGTGTTGAAAAAAACAATGTCCTCAAGAGTAAATTGTGTGTGATGTGGAAGGCTAACAACAAGGCATGGGTCACAAGGCAAATTTTCATTGAGTGGGTCAATGTAATGTTTGGCCCGAGTGTGAAGAAATACGTCCTGAAAAATCAACTGCCACTCAAGTGCCTCCTGGTAATGGACAATGTCCCTGCTCATCCTCCAGACTTGGAAGACCAATTGTTGGGGTTTAGTTTAGTTTCATCACAGTGAAGTTCTTGCCCCCTAATACCACTCCTCTCATCCAGCCCATGGACCAGCAGGTCATTTCAAACTTCAATATCCTCAATTGCATAAGTCTTTTAGATATGACTTAGCAGGGAGTGACTTCCAGGACGATGAACTATGCTTGGAGAAAACTGTGCCTAGAATGTGTCCTCGAGAAGGATTTTGAAGGGTTTGAGGCTGACCCTGATGACCCTATGCCTATTGTGGAATCTATTGTGTCTCTGGGGAAGTTCATGGGTTGGATGTGAGTGGCCAGGATGTGGAAGAATTGGTGGATGACCACAGGGAAGAGCTAACCACTGAAGAGCTGCAAGACCTTCAACTAGAACAGCAACAGATTGCAGCTGAGAAAATTGCTTCAGAGGAGGAGGAAGAGAGAGGGGAGAATGTGCCTTTTTCAGTGATTAAAGACATGTGTGCAAAGTAGAGTGAGTTGCAAAGTTTTGTGAAGAAATATCACCCTAACAAAGCTGTTCCAAGTCGTGCCTGCAACATGTTCAATGACAATGCCTTGTCCTATTTTAGGCAAATCTTAAAGAAACTCCAGAAACAGACCTCTCTGGACAGATTTTTTGTGCAACAAGGGTACAGTGACTCTCAAGCTGGTCCTACTGCTAGTAAAAGACAAAAAAGGAAGTAACCCTGGATAGGGCCTTGATACCTGAAGTCCTTATGGAAGGGGATTCCCCTTCCAAACAGTAACCTCTCCTCCTCCCTCTCCCTTCCTCGCCGTCTTCCATACGCCAACAAGAGTCTTCAATAAAGGTAAAAGTGATGTTAAATGTTCATTTATCTATTTCATTAGTCATTTACATTTATTTCTCATTGTTTTCTGTATGTAAAACTATAGTCATTCTCTATAAAATGTATTTTTTGTTAATATTTTGGGTGTCTGGAATGGATTAATTGGATTTACATTATTTCTTAGGGGAAATATTGCTTCAGTTTTCATACGATTTGGTTTTCATCAGACTTTTTAGAACGGATTAATCATGAAAACTGAGGTACCACTGTACTGCATACTAGAGCCAGTCACACATCATCAGTGACAAGAACAGATAGGTAATCTCACCTCGGATTATTGACATCTTGTATTGCATATGTGAGCTGATTATTGGGTATAACATTGGCTGGATTGTCCTCATCAGGACACAAACTGTCCTTAGGACATGGCACTCGGCGCAGAAAGTCTTCACGCCCCGAGTCATGGCACTGGGCATCATATGCCTCCTTTTCCACTCCCTGCAAAAAAATTATTACATTAAACTAAGTATCATTTACATATGTATATTTTTATAGTTATGGAGAAATTCTAAACCCATAGGGGTCATATGGCACCTGTGGAATGAGAAATAATCAGGTTTAATCAAAGGAAGGAGAGGGAAGGGGACAAGGGGCTCTAATTCCTTTGATCAAGAGCCTTTCATCATCAACTCTGGCAAGAAAGTAACAAAATATGACAAGAACAAGGCAAATATAAGAAAAGTTTAACAAGTTATAACAAGAGCAAAAAAACCCTAACAAGTTATGATACAAGCAGGAAAAGTAAAACAAATTATAACAAACAAAAATTATATAATATGACAAAGAACAAGGCAAATTACAACTAACAATCAAACGTAATACTTGATACACACTTCTTTGTGAAGGTGGAACCCTTCAAGTAACTTGATGCTGGTGAAGAGCTCTTGGAATAAAAATAAAAAGAAAATGGAGCTATCCTCTCATTCTTGGAACAAATCCTAATTGCTTAACGATTCCATATAATTTGTGAGGGAGGGAGAGGGCAAGTCTGCAGTATTACATTGCACTTATCGGAGGGGGAATGAAAGAGAGCATTAAATCCATAGGGGTTATACAACACCTTGGGGAATGGCAAGCAATCATGTTTGATCTACTGGGAGGTCAGGTCCAATTGTTTGGATCATGAGCCCCCCCCCTCACTGGTGTTAAGGAACCTTCCATGAGGAGAAGGTGGGTGATCCCCCCCTTCACTGGTGTTAAAGAACCTCCCTTGAGAAGGTGGGTTAGCTCCCCCTCACCAGCATTAAGAAACCTCCATTGAGGAGAGGGTGGGTGAGCCCCCCTCACCAGCGTTAAGAAACCTCCCTTGAGGAGAGGGTGGGTGAGCCCCCCTCACCAGCGTTAAGAAACCTCCCTTGAGAAGAGGGTGGGTGAGCCCCTCTCACTAGCATTAAGAAACCTCCCTTGAGAGGGTGAGTGAGCACCCCTCCCCCCACCGGCGTTAAGGAACCTCCCTTGAGATGAGGACGGGAAGAGAAACTGCAGAAACATACTGAGAAAACAAAACACGTGTTGTGAGGATGGTTCGACAAAATATTTGGTAGGGTGGATAAGACTAACAAGACATACATGAGGGTAAAGGCATAACAAACTAGTGTTTTATTATAACATACCTGTAATAATAAAACATGTAGGTGAGCGTGTGTGAGCTGCACCAACATTCCATTAGCTGATGAGCAAGACCCACCCTCAAACCTCCTTCATGTAAGGCTCCTTCCTGTTACTATCACATTACGCCCCGTTTTGACTATTAAAAGCCCACCAGAATATATGGTACCTACGCTGACGAGTTCACACAAAATTAATATGCTGAGAGTTGTGGATTTTTTTTTTTATATGATTTTCCTAAAGGTAGAACATATAAATGAATAATATGATAATTGTGTAATAAAATGTGATGTTGATTTGACCCTTTCAAGAAATTTCGAGTGAGAGGGGGGAGGTAGAACAGTCGGGGGAGATGCCATGAGTTTAATATGTGAGCACTGGACTGAACTGTACAAAGTAATCGGACGTTCTCAAAGGTCAACTGGTGTATATCGGCCTCAATCCGTAATTTAGAAATTGCTGACACGTTCCTGCTGAAGAACTAGGATAGTGAAAAACCCTTACACTTCGACAACAAGGATGGAAAAACAGAGGACACCAATTCTCCCAGGAGCACATCTCAGCTAAGTGATGCTTACCCATAATGTACAGTAGTTGTGTTGGCCCATCGTAAATTCTAGCTGTTAGGGTAAGGTTAGGGTGTGTTCCATCAGCATTAAGTTTCTACTTGTGACAAATGGCAAGTGGTAATACGAATTTCCTTTCTAATAACACTGTTTTAATTTATGTACAATAATTATATTGTGTACCCAGCAAGCCTAATCATATACAGTTCATGCCACTTTAATTTACCAGAGCAGCTTATTTTATTATAATTATTAATTTAATGTTGGGTCTAGCTTTTTTGTGGGAGTTGTAAAGAGTGGACATCGAGGCAGTGACAGTTTGGCGACCTACTGTGACAGTCCCACTTACCTCACAAAATTACTTGCAGGTAATAATTCAGGTAATGCCCTGTAAATCTTCTGCAGGTAATAATTCAGGTAATGCCCTGTAAATCTTCTGCAGGTAATTTCACACAGGAGTTGCCTTCTGTACAACAGATTACAAGAGCTATACACCAACAGCCCGCGTGAAATACAGAAAATTGTGAAATATGAAAAAAATATGTGAATATGGAACTTATTAATAAACAAAACCTCCAAGAATTAAGGCAATTATGGGAAAAAATCAAATGTGTTCAACATATTAAAGTGTTGACATATTCATCACAACATAAAACAATTCTAGGATCCACATCACCTATTACATCATGTTAGCATTTATTGCACGAGCCATGAATGTCCCGACCGAAGGCAAGCAAACTAAATTCGGTTATTGCTAAGTTACTATAATGTGTTATTTCTGTTATTGAGTGGCCCTGAATCAATATACAGTAGCATGTAAGCAAAGACTTCACAGGGATAAATACCTGCGTAACAAGACCTCCCCCAACACACATACACACACACACATACATTAACAAAATACTATACATGTGAACATACATAAGCAACAAACGTAGCAACAGAACTATGTGCAAGAGGGTTATAACTTTTTTACAACATAATATTCCTGTACCTTAATCAGATGAACTTTTGCCTAAAAGCAAAGCAAATACCTTTCATTTCAATATCTTTTAGAAAATATCAACCCTAAATGAAAAAAAAAACGAGTAACGACAACAAGCAACTTGAATGCATATTGCATGTAATATTAATAACACATAAAACAGCTTACAGTATCATTATCATGTTTGTACACATATTACTCCTTATTGCTTAGAATAAACCGAAGTTGCAGTTTGTTTTTGTTTCTGCAGGCAGCATACAGCTGAGTTCCTGCATAACTTTGCATGTTCAACACACTGATTACTTCTTGGTATACTGAGTGCGGAATTGCTCCTGCTTCCAGTGATTTTTCTATGAGTTCAGTGCTTTTCTGTAAAGTTTCAATAATTCTAACAAATTCTTGAAGTCATTTTCATCGTACATCTGATCAGTAAACCAATAATCTGCTCAGATGTATAAAATGACTCTGCATATCTTCTCCAAAGTCTTCCGTCTTGTAGGTATAAGAATGAATGCAAGAATAGCTAGAATGGCTTTTGAATTCTACCTCGCATTGCTTTTGTTTGGAATTTTCTGAAAGTTAATCAAAGGAAAGTGGCCTTTTTCTTCAAAGAATCTAAACAGTTGTGTTAGATGGTACAAAAACTTCATATCTCTCCATCCTGATTTATGGAGGACCTCTTCTGTTATATTAACAAACTGTGTCTTTAGTTCCTCATAATTCTTCACTAGTTGAGATACAAATGGATACTCCATGTTTGGGGAACTGGTTTTAGCATCAAGATTTTCACCCATTACCAAACGGAGAATCCTGTCCAGAACGTGTTGCTGACAAGTGATAAATTGTGGTTTGCTAATCCCGTCTCCGAGAACATTCCTCGCAGTTTAACAACAGCTCCACTCTTTTTCCCTGTGTTAACGTTTGTTGTATCAGCAATGATCATCTTTTATTACAGTCCATAAGTTGTATTCATCAATAACTTTTGCCATTCCTTCAGCAATAGTTTCTGAGTTGCTACTTATGATTAGTAACGTAAATATATGGTGATTAATATTTTTCATTATTTTGAGTTGCCAATTAGTATTTTCCTGAGTTGCTACTTATGAGTAGTAATGCAGATGTATGGTGATGCATAGTTTTTATTTAGGGGTGACCTTTTTTAAAAACTGAGAGGAATTAGGAACTTTTTCATTGTTTTTAAACTAAAGTTCATCGATTTATGATACAGGAGATGTTTCATTTGGAAAAAAAAGTTAAAACCCTCATGCGCAAGCACATGCATCTTGAACAAGGCTACAAACAACTGTAAAAGCTTTTGAGAGGAAACTGGATCACTACTTCTGTCAAGTGCCAGATCAACCAGGCTGTGATGGCTATGTGGGCCAGCAACAGCCTAGTTGAACAGGCAATCAACAGAAACGACTGGCCCCGGCTGGACTGCGATGGTACATAAAATTCTCGAAATCGGTTACAAGTGCCTCAATCATATACAAGTAAGATTGCACACAGTGACCAAGCACATGCATGTAAAATAGGACTGCCAGGTACACACGAGTAATGACCTACGCAAGGTCCTAATAACAGATCTGGAATTTTGATGATCCTACACCGATAAAAATGTGAATGATAAATGATAAACTTTATTTCTCTAAACTATGGTTTACAATTGGTTCAGAAAAGGTGATATTATTTACATACTTTAAAGAAAGCCCAGAGTTATGCAGAGAATAGAGCTACGAAATGGCCACCAAAGCTGAAAAATCCGATTTAACGCCAACAATGTCCACATATAACGTTATAACAAGACACGGGAGAATAAACAAAGACGACTTAGTACCTCCAAGGACAGCAAGAGGCCACTGTTGTAAACAAAAAAAAAAAAATGTGGAGCCGAAGGGATACAATAAATTTTTTCTCCGCAGAATGGAAAACCAATGGAATAAACTGAAAGAGGAAGAAGTAAATGCTACAGCTATTAGAAATTAAAAAAAAAATAAAGATGGGACATCACGAGCATATCTGCTCATGTAGCTACAAATAGGTGAACACAAACAAGTAATTTCACGCACGCACACATAAGTTACAATACCTGTTAATGATTCTGGGACTTAGAGTGAAGGAGGCCCAATTAGGTAACCGTTCGCTAGTAACTCGTACATATTTCATTTATACCACTGTTCTTTTTTTTTTTATATTCGCTCCCACTCTCTACAAAATGTTGACTGTAATAAAGTTGGTAGAATTACCGACAATATGTAAAGTAAAAGGACACAAGTGCA